CCTCCTCCTCCCCACCTCACCTGCTGTCGGCTGGCTCAGGCTCTGCTTAACGTGCAGAGGAAGTCATTCTCAGCAGCTTTGGAAAGCTTGCACTGTAAAATGCTTCTTCCTCCCATTTCCAGCTGAAAAGCTTGGGGCAATAGAGGCTATTGTCTGACAAAAGCCTTCCTAGAAAACCGGGCAGGACCAAAGGACAAGGGGCTGGTACCCTATACGTCTGCTCGCCACCTCACTGCCCTGGGCCAGAATCTGGCACTGGACTCATCTTGAGTCCTTCAGAGCAGCTTCCTGCCCTTTGGGCTGCAGATTGAGATGGCAGTAAAATTCCTCCAAGAAATTAAGAGCTTTTGCTCCAAACAACTAAAACCACGGAGAGACGAGGACACCGACATCAGCACCCACACAAATGGAAGGAATTAAGCACAAGTGGCTCATCCGGAAGCCTGGGGATGGGGCTTTGCATCCCACACCACAGGAAATCCATTCTCTAGGTTGTGCTTCTCAGTTCCCTGATAGAAGTGCTCTGCTATAACAGACAAATCACTTTGCCCATTCATGAGTAATTAGGTCCAATTTCATCCCACCTGGCCACAATGGAGCAGAGAAATGGACTTCCACGAAGGAGCCAAGGGGCAGCTCAGAGCTGCAGACACCAGGTCCTGCACCCAAATCCATCCCTGCACCTAAAACATCCAGTTCCCACTCCCCTCAGGCACTCAAAATGCTGCCTTGTCTGCAGCTCTGCTTTCCCCAGACCCCAGCCCTAAAGCCAAGCCTGATTCACCTCCATGTAGGTGTTAGCAGAGAGCTGCCCGAGGAATGAGCAAGCCATGTCAGTGCTGTGCCCACCTCCACGGCCCAGCAGGGCCGGGCAGGTCTGCAGCATCCAGCACCGGCACCCAGCATCACACCCTATGGGGACATGGGGACACCTGAAAACAAAGAGTTAGGGACATCACTGGGGGCATCCTTCAGGGATGGCTCTGGGAAGAGGAAGAGGAGGCTGTCAGGAGCTGCAGCTCTGCAGTGGCAGCCCTGAAACCAAGGGCTGGTCTAAGGGATAAGCCAGAGAATTGGCATGAAGAGTTCCCAGCCAGACTCAGAATCAGCTCACATTTACATCAGGTAACCACTCCAGCCCTATCCCCCTTGCTGCAGCCACTGCCCTGCGCTTCATCAGATTCGAACCTGTAGCTGTTTCAGGGGCTTGAGTTGGGAGTTTTAAAACATCATCTTGTCAAAGCCAAGCTCTGTGTTATTCTTTGCGTCACTGACTGCCCCTGCAGGCTTCAACCACCCTTTAGATGTGCTGGACACTGGTGGGTTGGGTTTGGGGGGTTTCTTGCAAAGGGGTTTTAGTTAGACTGAAGTTAATGTATTTCTGCTGTCCCTCTGCTGAGCTGCAGTGTGCTGCCACCAGCAGCTCCCCCAGCAGCGACCCAGTCCCATTGACAGCTCCACCACCCAAACCAGCTCCCACACGGAGGGACAAATCCTAACCAGGCATTTTGTGCTGGTCCCACTTACCTCTGTGCAACTTGGAGAACCAACGCAATAACCCAGTGCACAAACAGGGAGCGCACCCCATGGCAAAGGGTGATGGCGCTGCTGCAGGTTGCAGCCTATGTGGGCTGCGGGGGAGATGAGTTTTCCCCCAGGCAGGGGCTCCCCATCCCCTGCTGCAGGCTCAGAAGTCCCAGAGGAAGCATCACCAGGCACAGCTGGGGCTTTTGAGCACTGCCCCGGTCACAGCTGCGGGAGGGGGCAGCAGTGATTGCAGCTGCACCACAGCCTCAGCCGGGCACTGCAGGTGCTGCCCTTTAATCCAGGCAGTGCAATGCGTGTGAGCGGGCGGGCAGACAGGGGAGCAGCGGCAGAGAGCCCCGAAATGGTGCAATTTGTGGGCAAAAGCTGCTGCAGGCATCACAGCGAGGGTGGGCAGAGCTGCAGCAGGGCAGGAGGGAGGGAAGGACAGATGGCCGCACGCACACCCGCTGCATCCCAGCCCTGCAGTGTTGACCATTGCACATCTGCAAGCCCTTTTCTTTTCTCTTTCTTTCCCTCCTCCCAGATCACTTTAAAGGCCACATTAGGGCATAATTAGACAGGCAGTTAAATGGCGACCTGGCAGGGGCAGTGACCTCCGGCGGTGGCAGGAAGCGGAGCAGTGGGTGGGCTGGGGGTGCAGCCCCGCACACACCGCGCTCAGCACCACCAGGCTCACGGGAATTACCGCTCGGTCACAAACCCTCCTTTTAAGCCCCCACCACAGCCTCGGTTTCCTCATTCTGCTCCAAGAAACCTGGCATTTTGGTGGAACGATGCTGAACGCTCCCCATCCCTGTCCCACGCACTGCACTGGCACAAGATGCCCCGTCCTCTCTCCACCGCCAGCACCGGTCCAGCCAGGGACTGACCCGCTGTCACTCATCCCCTGGCACCGACACTGTCCCATCCCGCCCCAAGCGGGGCTGGGTGCTGCACCCTCGGCGCTGGGCTGTTGTGCCTCCATGCGGGGCTGTGCGCGGCCGCGGCGCTCCCTTATCACCACCGCGACCTTTGCTGGGTGCAGATGAGCGGCTGGAGCCAGTTGGATTTGTTTGATTTCTGTTGCTGGTTATTAGGCAGAGGAAGTGCCAGAAGGGATTTTGACCTCGAGTTTAAACCTATTCCAATTAGAGCCACTGAGCCTTTAATTACAGAGCTCCAGCCCCTTTGGTTAAAGCAACAACAAAGACAAACCCTGGTGGAAGATGGACTTTTCTCCTCATCGGCCCTCCGATCTGCTGCCCTCTTTGCCCATGGGCTGTGGGACTGTGGGCATGGGGCTTTTTGACCCACAAAGCCCCCCGTGCTGCCTCCAGACCCTGCAGCTGCTGGGGGTGATGACCATGGGCAGGAGGCAACGCTGCCCACTGTGCCTGGAGGATGCTCCAAGGACCATCTCCTGGTGCCCAGATGGCTCCAGCCGAGCATCACCCGAGGTTACAGTTTGGGGGCCCATTGGAGCTCACCAAAGGGCAATGGATATTTTGGAAACGCTGATTTCTTACTCAGGATAACTTCTATAGAGTGATTCCATCCTTACAAAGGCACTCCAGAGCACCCCTGTGCTTCACTCCACTTGGCCTTGGGACATGGACGGTGTTTAACCCCCCCGGAACTTTTGGCTCCTGGTGTAGATCCTTCCTGGCACTCCAGACCCCAGGCACAGATCCCTGCCTTTTGCTTCATTTCTTATATCCATTGCCATTAGGTTTTATTTACATGCTTAAGCTTAGCAAAAGAGGGTTTGTGTCTGTGCGAGTCCTACGATTTAAAAATAAGCTTCTGGGACACATCCTGAGATTGCTCTTTCACGTTAAACAATGACTGAACCCCGCACGCTCTGGTACCTTCCTTCCCTGATGGGCTTTTTGTCCATTCCCCAAACAGTTTGGGAAATAAAGCAAAATGGACCTGGAGGTCTCCAGTGGTTTTATTCCTTAGCATAATCCTCTACTTCACATGGATAAATTAGCAGTGATCTTTCCACTGGGGGCCAAGCTCCAGCCGGAGCCAGCAGAAGAGCAGGGGCAATGGACAGATCCCATTCGTTTCCTCCGTGGTGGTACTACCTTCTCCATAGACAGATTTGATTTCCTCCAGCATGTGCTGGTCTCCGTTTATCCGATCCTTCCCCTCTCAGGTTCCTTTTCCTTCTTTCATGGGAACTGGAAATAAGGTTTAAAAAAAACCTGGAGAAACCTTAAAGCAACTCTCAAATGATTGAAAAATAGGGTTCTGAAATCAGTGTACAAACGAGTCTGGTATATGGATGAGAAAAAGCGACTCCTCTGTACCACAGCTGAGCTTTTCTGCATAAGGCTGCTATTGATGCAAAGTAGTTTTAACCATTTTGAGAGCTGCCATGGAATAACCTGTGCCAGCAGCCAAGGAAAGAGCTGGAGACAACTGCAGAGGGGCTTTGGACAAGGGTCTGTAGGGGAATGGCTTTAACCTGCCAGAGGGGAGACTGAGATGAGCTCTTAGGCAGAAGCTCTTCCCTGTGAGGGTGCTGAGGCGCTGGCACAGGGTGCCCAGAGAAGCTGTGGCTGCCCCATCCCTGGCAGTGCTCAAGGCCAGGTTGGACACAGGGGCTTGGAGCAAGCTGCTCTAGTGGAAGGGGTCCCTGCCCGTGGCAGGGGTTGCAGGTTTACAGTGCTGGAAGGAGAAGCCAACCCAGGGGGTGGAAGGGCCAAAGGCATGCATTTGGTCACTGCAGATGAGCACAGACTGGCCACTGATATGGGACCGAGCTGTCAGAGCCCCAAGGTCATTACTGGAGCTTGGAGCTGGTGTTAACACACATTGAACATGGGCCCGTCACCCACCTGCTCCTGGCTGCACATCCCACCCTGTGCCCTGAACACTGTCTGCAGGGGATGATGAGCAGCAGGTGCCTGCAGCTTCAGCCACCAAAGCAGGAATGCCAAATATTCACATCCTAAATAAGGCCCAGATTCCATGAGAGCAAGCACAAGGCTCATCTACCAAGCTTGGGCAAATGTGATGCAGTTCCTGAATGCACCAGGTTTTGCTTCACAGGACAAACTTAATAATTCTCTCTGTGTACACTTATTCTGGTTTAAAAAGGAAGTCTGTGTAACCCCCATCTATCCCCATCAGCCTGTTTGTTTGTGAGGACTATAAATGGGAGAAGCTCAGCCATGAACCAAACCCATGAACAGTTCCACAAGGCAGATGAGTTCTATATGTGAAACTACCAAAATAATCCAAGACAGCCCCAAAACTGTATGGACCCAACCAATTCTTGAGCTGCCAGGCTGGCACCAGGACTTGGAAACCTGGTTACAAAGGGGAGACAGACACCTTGGAGATTCCTGTTACACCTTCCATGGAAGAGCAATGGAATTCCCCCAGAGCATCTGCATTTGTAATCAACGACCAGGTGCAATGAAGGCTTGAACCCAAATTAAACACTGCTCTACAGCAAGAAGTGCTACATAAGTGACATTTATTAACGTTCTGCTGTATTTACAGTTTTAACATAGTAAAACTCCGAAGTGAGTTACCGCTTGGCAGGAAGCACAGGAGTGCACATTAAATCTACATTTAGAACGCATCATAGTCTCTGCTAACACAAATTAGAAAAGCAAGAATTACAGGTGGGGTAGGAATTGTCTCCAAAGTCCCAAAGCCAAAGGAAAGAAAAAAGGCCTTTGTTTTGCAAGGTCATTTTTTATACAAAGTTGCATCATCACCTTTCGTGTCTCCACTACCAATGTGTACCGTGAAAACCCCTAGAGATCCAAAAGGTAGGTAGTATGAAAGTAAAGTATCCTACAACATTGAGAGTATAGACTATCAAAAACGTAATACTTGTGCTGCCTTCAAAGCAACGCTCTCTGCCAATGAGCCCTCAAGAGCCTGTACCAGAGACCCGCTTTGGCCACGGCAGCAGAGGTGCTGCTGGATACAAGCAGCAGGAAAAGGTGTGTGGCCAGAACAGAGCCATCACCCCAACCTCAAGGCCACCACCCCATCTTTGAGGCCACCTCTTGAGGCCACTCCTCTGTCCAGCAGCACTGCACAGGCTGCAGAGGCCAGAGCAGAGCCCAGGCCAGCTCCCAGGATGGAGGAGGAACTAAAGCAAGTCTGTCCCCTGCTGGCTCCAGGGCCAGGGCTCATGCTACCAAGCTCACTACAGAACTACCCATGGAAGGCTTTATTAGCACGTCACAGACTCGACCGCAAGAGCTTTTTCAAACATCAGCCACTAAATGAGTCAATGATTACAGAATTCTGCGTTAATTATTCAAACTTTACACCTAGAAACAAATAGAAAGAAATGCTTCTCCTTGTCTGTTTGAACAGTACTTTTATTTAGTTACGTTAAAGCAGGTGATTATTTTTTCTTCTGCTCCAGAGTCTTGATTCACTTCCTGCAGGTGTCCTGTTGCTTCTTGAGGGAGAATTCACTAATGCAGGAAGACATTTCCCAGAAAACATCTGTCGGAGAAGGATATTGAATACTGCAACTATAGTTAGATTGTTATTTTGGATAAAGAAGGATGTAGTTCACAAAGAGTGCAGGATGTCTAAAGGCTTATGAAGTATCTCAGTACACAATGACATGACTCTAGCAAAATGCTCGGTGCTTTTGTGTGCGTCTGAAGAGTTAAAACTCCTCAGGGGAAAACAGGCACTGAACCAGACAAGGCTCTTAGAAACATCAGCATTAAACATACACATGTACCAAATTACACCGTACTATGAGAACAAAATTGGACTGCCTTTAATTGCAGCATCCACCCAGGATGATGATGAGGTTTGTATCTTTCCATCAAGTGTCTGGGTTGAAAGAGACATCCTCTACTTCTAAACTGGAACTGTTTAAGCCTTAGACCAACCACAAGCCCCTCGCGGTTGTCACATCCATCACCAACACACATGGATGGAACAGTGACCACCAAGCTACCCATTCCATACAGTTTCACCAGTTGGTGTTTGCTGGTTGGCACTAACTGTTCCTCTCCTCCTCCGTGAAAAGTTAAGTTTCAGTAAAGCTGCACAATTTCAATGAGAACAAACTGCAGATGATAAAGCTGATGCTGAAACGTGACCATACAGCGGGGGGAAAGAAACCCTCTGGTGACTCAGCAGGAATACGAGAGGATATTACAAACCCTGGAGGAGGCTGTAAACCATGACTGTGTTAAACAGAACTGAAACACTTCAATAAATGGACTGAACTATTTTTACACACAATCACCAGTGGAAACTCGGGCTGGAAAACACTGCACAATGGCTGGTTTGTGTGGCCTGCTCTCATTACAGCCTAGAAATGAAGCACAATCTTACGCAATTTGCAGTTTCTAATGAAAGGAAAGTGAATTTGGAAGAATCAAGCCTCAGTTTTAAAATCTGAACAATTTAATGACCCCCAATTTAAAGCTGGGGCTTGTTTGCTTTCTTTATGCCACTGTCCCAGCTGCAATTGCTTCAACCCTGTCTTGGGGAAATCTAGTGCTATTATGATATTTCTAAAGGGAGCATCATGTTGCATTCACCATCTGGGAAGCAACAGGATTTCCTTCCCCTCAGGGAGGGACAGTTAATGCAAGGCCATTATCTGCTGTAAGCAGGAAATTATGCTAGAAGGGTTCGACTACTTAAGCCTCCTTCTTTAAAGTCCCATTAAGAAGGCAGCAAAGTTAAGGTTTGGCCTCAGAATGAAAGACTTTTAGGCATTAAGGCCTTTGAAGGATGTTCAGGCAGGACAGTGTGTTACGTTCTAGTATGCGAGAGGGGTTTCTAACAAGCAAAGGTGTGCAGGAGCTTTATTTCTTCAGGAACTTGGCAGACTATTCAAGCAGAATGCAAAATCCACACAAATGGTTCTGTCTGGGGCATAAGCCAAAGACACTGGCACAACCTTCTAACACTCACGTTCAGGACACACCACGTGCTTCAGGCATGTGGCTTCTTCTGAAAGACTCGCTTGCCAAATGCAGTGCAACAGCAAGGGGCAGAGATTTTGTTCTTACAATTCACGTCCTGGAGTCTAATGAATATACAAACTCCTCAAAGCAAAAACTCAAGGAGAAATGTCAAGTATTCCTCTGCTCCCCATCAAGTCAGTCTGGACTCTGCTGCAACAGGAGCTGACTACGGGATACCAAGAAACAACTGCTGTCTGCTGCCTAAACCATATTCAAACCAAAGCAAAGCCCAGCCTGAAAGGGTCACTAAATAGAATTAAAACCAAAGAGAACAAAATCAGGAAAGCAGAAAGTTTACCTTTAGTAAATAAAGAGAACTCTGGTTCTGGGGAGAGTGGAGAAGGTGTCTGGCATCTTGCGAACCTTTGCATAATTAATAAACCCTCTGAGGAACAGCAGAAAACCTAGATGGAAAAACCATGTCAGTTAACACAGGTGCTGCTCCTTCAGTTAGAGGGAGCAGTTCAACCCAGCATTACTAATAGAGAGGGACATTTGTCACTGGGATGCACAACAGCTGATGTGATACAAGGTAATTGAGTTTTTTAATCAATGACACCCAATCTTTCAGTGCTTCAGGATGCTGCCACCAAGAAATGAAAACAAAAGGACAGTGTTTGTGTGTATCTTTAAAACCTTGAAGGCCTTCAGTAGGAGGAAGGGTTCTACGAGGGTTATATTTCACTTTTATATCAATATGCACGTATCTGAACAGCCAGTAAAGCCCAAACTGCACTTGACAGAGTTTTTAAGCACACATTCCTTCTCCCTGCTGAACACTCACCTAGTACAAGGAAGACCCACCAGAGCCAGTACTGGCCATCAAAGTAACCAGGAAAATAGGTGGAGAACTGGGGAAAAAAATACATACATACAAGTTAGAGCACATGGAAGCACCTGAATCCAAATCTGCTCCCTCCCATTTCAGCAGTAACCAGATCAAGCCCAGATGTGCACAGAAGAGACTTTATAGAACACCACATTTCATCAGTTGCACCAATTGCAGGGAACAAGCCACCTCCACAGACTTTCATTTAAGGTTTTTCCACACACACCAGGCAAACTCTAACCAAGGGGAATGGAACAGAACAATGCCCAGCCATAAACTCCCGCAATCAGTGCAGCATTAAGACACTACTGGGCAAATACCCCTATTTTCCCTTACATCTTTGATGCTTGTAAACCACAGCTGCAGTTTGTGAAAGGGAAGACCAGGTCTGCAGCAGTGCATTAATTACACTGAGGTAGGACAGCACAGCAAACAAAAGTCCAGTTGAAAAAGAAACCCCAGACCTGTGGAACCCTCTGACAGGCTTTTCTATTGGGAAAATTACTGCCCATTGACTGAAAGGCACTGACACTATCAGAGCACTGAAGCTCATTGTGTCAGTGGTAAATACAGCAGGGTTTTTTTGTTTTCATTCTATTCAGGTTTAAAAACCTAACAAAAGATAAGCTTGTCATCAGAGGTTAAATCACATCCACAGGTAAAGTGGCACCTACTGCTGCCACACCTCTTAATCAAGCATACAGCTCTTAACACCACTGGTACCAGGTGACCACAAAAAGCTCCACTTCCTACAGGAAAAGTCAATAGATGCTGCATGGACACATTCTAATTCCTAGCCCCAAAAGGTCAGGTATGAAGTGACAGCCCTAACCCAAATGCTCTCTACTGAAGCACACCTAATGAGCCTTTTTGCTTGCAATTTAAGCTCTCAGCCTGGAATGTCTGTGTGCCATTTTCACAGACACCACCCTTCCTTGGGCTCCAAATAAAGCTTTCCTGATAGAAACATTTTCTCCCAGTCCCTCCAAAAAACATTTTGGCTTTTTTCCCCCCATTCCTTCCAGCACCAGCACATCTTGATCCCTCTCTGCTTTCCCCCACAGCCGTTTCTCTTTCTCCCGCTCCGAGTTTTCGAAACACTACATCAGCCTTTCTCTATATCCAGGCTCCCACAAAAGAAACCAGCTCTGACCAGTCATCCCCTTCCTCTGCTGTGTGATCCGGGAGAGGGGAGCACAGTGGATGTTTAAACAGCCCGGATATGCCGAGTTTATATGGAAATGAAACAGAAGCGTGCTTCCTCCTATCCCCTCCTGCTTGTGCCGCAGGCATGTCGCACCAGAGGGCACCAGCGGGCTTCTCCCATCCACTTCAGCTAACTTCAGCGTAAGGGGGATAAAACCGAGCTAAACTGTCGATGTGCATGGGTTTGCACTACACAACTTACCCTGACAATAAGAATCCACTTAATGAGGGACAGACCAAACCCAGAAATGGCCCCATATCGTCCTGCAGCTGAAGTAGTCAGACAGAAAGACAGGAAAAATCCAATCCAGTTGAAGAGGAATGCCACTGAGAAAGCAGGAGAAAAGCAGCAGGTCAAGTCCTCTTTACATTCCAAATCAAAGAAAACATAAACCTTTGCACACAGGTTTCTCCTAGTGCTACATAAACCTAAGTGTGAAAATAACTCCAGCTACTTTGGCTCACTGCCTGAAAGAAGGGGAAGTCCCCCCATGGACTTACTGAAGAAAGTCAGCATGAAAATGCCATCATTTCCTATCCTCAGCTGGTCAGTGTCGTCAAAGTCATCCTGGGTCACAAATTCATCATCCTGCAAATCCAAGGGAGACGAGACATGGGTGGATTTATGTCAGACCAGTCCATACAGCACTACAAATCCTGCATGGGGCTCTTCAAGAAAGGGCCAGCAAATTGCAGAGCCTTCAGAAAGCAGCGTTCAACAGAGGGATCCAAAATGCTTCACTTACATTTAAGAAAGGAGGCCTACAAGAAGGCTGGAGAGGGGCTTTGGACAAGGGCCTGCAGGGACAGGCCAAGGGGAATGGCTTTAACCTGCCCGAGGGGAGACTGAGATGAGCTCTTAGGCAGAAGCTCTTCCCTGGGAGGGTGCTGAGGCGCTGGCACAGGGTGCCCAGAGAAGCTGTGGCTGCCCCATCCCTGGCAGTGTTCAAGGCCAGGTTGGACACAGGGGCTTGGAGCAAGCTGCTCCAGTGGAAGGGGTCCCTGCCCGTGGCAGGGGTTGGAGCTGGAGGAGCTCTGAGGTCCCTTCAACCCAAACGAGGCTGGGATTCTATGAAAAGTCCCCTGTAGGGCAGAGGGCTGGAATCCTCAATCACAAAGGGCTACAAATGTAAGCAGGACGCTTCTCATCCTGAGACAATGCAGGGCATGAAATATTATATACATAATATGATTTCTAGTATTTTTAAGATAGTCAAGACCCAGCCTGTTCTTGGTCTCACTGTGAAGAGCTCCTCTACTCATCAAAGCTATTAAACCTGTCATCTCAGCAAAGAATTTGGCTTCTACGAAGGAGCAGAACAAGCAGTGGCCATGTAACGCAGGGGTAGAGGAAGAAGCTGAACAAGAGAGAGTGCTGGAAAAAAAACAGAATAAATGAAAAGAAAAACTAATTATTCTGACAGAATGGCTTTCCCATCCTTGTATCAGCTACACTGACCTCTGGGGCAGTCAACAAAGTAAGCAGGAGGAGTATCAAGGCTGAACAGTTAATCCTAAGTCTTTAAAAAGCCCCAGTGGCGGTGCCCAGGGACACAGTACAGCTCCCCTGTCAGTGTGCCCAGCTAATCTGGATGCTGGCATTGCTGAGGTGTTTACATCACCACAGCCACCCACAGGAACACTGGCAATTACAAATAATAAAAATAACCAGCAGAAAAAAACCCAAATTAGCCCCAGGCTTTTGGGAGTGTGTGGTACCAGCGCCCCAGGAAGCTCAGAACAAACACAAGCCATGGCACTTGCTCAGCAGGAGTTAAACCAGAAGTTCTCCACCAGCAACGTGAAGGACACGGAGCTGGCCGAGTGTACTCACCCTTCCAGGAACCAAGGGGATTGTGGCTTCAGCCTTGGTTCTCTCTGCCTCATCGTAACTAGGCAGTGTTGTGGCCACGTTGTAAGATGGAGGCTTAGGAAATCCTGACTCATCCTTGTAGTCAAAATAAGCTGCAAAACAAAGGGTATACAGAAGGTAAGTTGTGGGTTCCCCGAGAACACCGTGTTGGGAATGAGCTGTGCTTTGGATGACTTCAGAAGACGTCAATACCCCAGGCTGTCAGATCCGGCCCCTCCTGTTCCCTCCCAGCCTCCTGCCATCCCAAAACAGAAAGTGGAAAACATGGGAGCACCTTATCTGATATAGAGCAGTGCCCTGGGTATCAGTGTAACAGGCCTGGCTGTTCCTGTTTAAAACAATGATACACGCTGTGTTTCTCCTGACTTCAATGATCAGAAGTAGTCATGTTTTCAAATCCAAGGGCTTTGAGTGAGTCAAAGGCTCACTGCAAGCCGCAGCCCACCAGTGACCAGTCTTTCCAGACAGAGACTCAAAATAGTTTCTAGCTGGATGGAAAAGGGATTGGAATAAATGACATCGCACTTCTGAGCCCCAGTCACTGAGATGCACTAAAGAACTAGAACTAACGGGACATCTTCATGGTGACTGTGCCAAGGCAGGATGCTCAACAGGCAGCTTGATAAATACAATATCCAAACTTCTACCCATAGCTGGCTGACAGACCCTGCAGTATGCTGCATTTGATTCACAAATCTTGTCTGCATAGTTGACTATGAAAAAAATAGGGAAAAAAAAAGAGATTTACCTAAGCCAAAATGCTCTGATACATAACCAACACAAACCAAGCTGCTTTGCTACAAGCTATTAGGGACATGACAGTGTGATGATTCAGAAGTATAATCCTTAGGACAAAGTCTTTAGTTACTGAAAACTGCAGGAAGAGTGAATTCTTAATCCCTTTTAAGTAACAAGCCCTTTTTGGAAGGAGCACAGCATCATCCAAATGGCAAATAATGAGAGGGGAACCACAAATCCTCACAGCACTTTGATTTTTAACTGTCTTCAACCTGCTGAGAACACCACGAAATGTAACTTGAACACCACTTGATGGGATGACATCAGATGAATGTAGCCAAAGTGCATCTCCTAAACCACAAGTAACAGCAGTCTCTCTGGATCAATTCTGGTCCTTTGCAGCCTTGGCAAGGATGCTGCAATGCCACCCATCAATAATAAGGAGAACAAGCAAGGAAGAAGAGCAGAGCAAACCTTGCTTTGTAAGTGAAATGTACCTGTACTCTCTGCAGAAATGCTGCTGTAAGGTGGAGGGGCATCATTCAGCACGGGTGCAGTCTCGCCTGGCTCCTCTTCATTCTGCAGCTGAACAGACCCACACACAGAGAGGTTAACAGGGCTTCCCAAGCTCTGTGAAATCACCCCCCAGTTTTAACTGCACACATCAGACTCTTCTGTTGGACAACTGTTGTGCAGCACCATGGGATACACGAGAAGCAGCTCAGCCTCCCTCCAAACGCTCCCACTTGAAATGATCTATACATCATCTCAGCTTTAATGTGGTTTTAGTCGTATCCTCACACACCTGGCAAAGAGCAGCACACATCTTTTCAGCACCTTCCCATTCCCCTGGCACTTCTTCAGCTCACACTGCTTAGGAACTGCAGTTACACCTGGTTTAGTCGAAGGGACACCATGAGATACCCAACAGAAGACTCCCTTGCTGCCTGTGGCTTTGCTAAGGGTTTTTCCATGGATACATTACATAAAGATACATACAAGTGTGGATCTTGCCATTTCCTTTCAACCTTTCACACTGCATGACTGAAAAGGAGATGGGTTATTTTGTGCACTGTGCCTCCCACAGTCTCTGTATAAATAACCACACAGCTTATCAAACACAGAGTGTCACTTGCATGAAGCAGGCACGTGAACACAGGCTTTGGCCAGAGAATCCAGCAATACCAGGGCAGAAGCATCCAAAGCAGAACTGACCAGAAAGGAATCTGTAAATCAGCTGCCACCTAATGATATTTTCTTCTTCTTTCCTTTTCTCATCATCTCACCAACTACCCCCTTTTGTAATCACCACAGGAATAACCCTGCAACCTCTTCCTTAACATCTCCTTGACCTACCCCTCCCATATACCCACACTACTACTCTTGAAGCCATCCATGATGTTTTGGTTTCTCTTCTCTGGAGAGACATGCTGCCATTCAAGTCCTTCCCAAGAATGTAATGCAAGGGGTCAGGGGGTGGGAATATGTTCCTGTTTCACTTCATGTCTTATAAGGAAAAAATCAAAATCAGCTCACACTTCTAACTGAAGGGCTTGTTTCATACATAACTGTTGTGGGTTTTTACTCCTTTTAATGCCTAAGAGCAAAGCCCAGACTCCATCCATGTGCTCTGTGAAAGTCAAAGCCAAAACCTTCTCAGATGCTCGAAGCGCAGTTCACTGGATGTTTGGATGCAAGACCCACTCTATTAGTGAAGGAGGAAAGGCTCCAACACACCAGAACACTTTGGATACTGCATTCCCTGCACTACCCCTTCACCTGGTGAAGGGGTGGCAGAAACTAAAGCCCTAATGTCTGCAAGAAAGAAGACATATACAGCTTAAAAGCACAATCACCAGGGAGGGGGAAGGAAAGCGCTAGATGTGACAACACTGGGAGAGATGAAATGAAAGAGGACACAGATTATTGAGTGGAACATTAATTCCTACCACTGGAATTCTTACAAGGTTCTTCTTTCAATAGTAAAAAGGAATGCCTATTTTTACAACAATGTTGTGTGGGAGAAAGCGAGCGGAGCTTACTGCTGGCTTCAAACCATTCCAATCCAGGTAATGACACAAAAAACACAGTTACTTTTGGAAGCGCAGCTCAAGGCTGCAGGAGGTATAGTTACAGAAAACAGCTTTTTCTTCTAATGGACAACGTACACAAATGCCTGCCAGCCTTTTTAATGATCCCAACCATCTAAAATTCAACTAAGTGCCTATTAGCAAAGCAGCAAGGGTTCATGTGGCAGGAAGAATGAATCACCAGGCTTCGTGTGGTGCAGCTCTGCCCTCACCTCGCATGCTCTGTCTGCCCCAGGTAGCACCAGGGATGCACTGAGCCACGCTACTCGGGTTTGCGGCCAATTCCCCCTTGGGCCACTGCTGAGTCTTCAGAACTCAGAGAACCCGGTGAAAGCAGGGTTTGACTTATGGCTGGTTTGCTGAGGTTGTGGGTCTTCCTTCTTCGATTTACTGATGGATTTTAGCTTTTACAGCAAGATTCCTATATTTGAGGCTTTAATCACAGATTGGTTTGCGTTCGGAGGGACCTTAAAGCTCACCCAGTCTCAACCCCCTGCCACAGGCAGGGACCTTCCATTGGAGCAGCTTGCTCCAAGCCCCTGTGTCCAAGCTGGCCTTGAACACTGCCAGGGATGGGGCAGCCACAGCTTCTCTGTCTTGAAACAGTTCCATGTGAACTTTGCAGAAAGCATTTCCAACACATATATTTATTAATTCTTCTAAATTTGCTGAACTTGGCACAGGGGCTGCTGACACAGATTTAACCCTGGGGGGTGTTAACCTCCCCGTGCCCTTTGCAGATATTCTTTACACTAATTCAGCATTACTACAAGCTTCGCCTTAGCAACAGATCATCAATAATACATTAACTCAGCCACAGATCATCTGTGTTTACTGCATTTCAGTTCTTATTTTATGTCTGGCACACAAGGTAGAACAGCACACAAATGCAACAGAGGAAGATAACCCTGATCAGATCCCATTTTTGTTGTTACTGTGGTTTCTCTGAGATTTCAAAAGGCAGATATTCAGGTGAATGCCAGAAAGAGAACTGATATTTGTCTTAAAAGGCAACAGGATCGATGTTTTCAGAGCAATGGAATCATCACCTTTGCAAGCCAAATGCTAAGAATAAGTAAGTTAAAATGTGCACCACTACTAAATCTGGGAGTACTCCAGCACAGCAAGAGCCTGCCCACAAACAGGTTACACTTCACTCCCATCGCAACATCCCTTATTCCTCTCCTTCCGTATCTCTGGCCTTGTGGGAGCAAATGCAAGTTGCTGCCAACTCTGAAGAAGAGAATTATTTTCACTGACTTATACTTCCTTACATCCCCTGACTTGAAATCTTGACTTTTGCCCTATGCTGTTCCAGATCCCTATAACTTATAATTCCCCTTATTAATCACCAGGAATAACAGCACATATAAGCTGTCAGACATATGTATAATATATATATAATAGATATACAATATAAGCACTGATAAGCTGTCAGACAAGGCAGCCCACATCCATTAGGCCTCTCCCTGATGAGCAAATAACTGTTTTCTCTGTCGTCACCTCCAGTTCTTTTAGCCCGAGGAGTGACAATGCCTACCCCAGCCCCACACATGCTGTCAGCTCTTCAGTGACACTCAGCAGTCACAGTCCAAGCAAACCCTCCCCTGGCTCCTCCGTGCACCAGGAGATGCCGATGCTCCTGCCTAGGCCTTACGATAGGGAATGGATTCTCCCTTGGGCCCTGAGCACAGCCCAGCGCTGGGGAGTGAATCCTGAGGTCTCTGCCAGCCTCAGCTTCTCCTTCACTTTAATACAGGACTGAGAACCGTTCCTTCATTCCCCCTCCCAAAACATTCCATGCAGTGAGCACACAGCTGCACCCACACAGTGGGATGCACGGGCAAGGACCAGGAACCCCGCAGGAGCATCCACCTGAAGGGTCAGTTTGCAATGACCTCCCCAGCTACCAAGGTGAACACCACAAAGCAAAACGTATTTGATGTCCATCAAAGTACCACCCCTGCTCACGAGGATGGTTTTCACTGACTCACTGCAGTTAATGGCCTGCCAACATGGAAATACACCTCAGCCCTGGGAAACAGCTCTGCTCAAACAGGGAACTATACTGGTCTGGCTGGACTGCAAACACGCGCTTGGGCCAGCACAAACCTGTGCTGCAAGCCCCTGTGTCCAACCTGGCCTTCAACACTGCCAGGGATGGGGCAGCCACAGCTTCTCTGGGCACCCTGTGCCAGCGCCTCAGCACCCTCACAGGGCAGAATCCTGATACCTAAGATAATGTTTTATTTAGAAGTTTGCAAGGCTATTTTCTCCTGTTACACAAACTATTTATGACGCTGGACAACTACTGTTTCACTGCCTCTTCCCAGTCCTGTTAGAGATGGACTATATTTTAATTCCACAATAACTTTTTCAGATAGAATCACTAAAGCCTTTCAGCCTCACCTGACAGGTACACTGCTGCCTACAGGCGTAGGTGTTTCAGAGGCAAACAGCAAGACTTTAGTCACCTCAACACACTCTGGGCTGGTCATTGGGCAGCCCCAGGCAAGGCGTGTGGTCCCTATCAGTTGCAGCAGAATGCAAGAGCATCACTTTACTCTGCAACTCTCTAAATCTTTCCTGGGTTTATGCCAATGGGTATCTCCCACTCTGCTTGTCTGAATGCAAAAAAAAACTGAAAACAACCTACTCTGGAAATTTTCTTATCGTTCTTATCAGTTGCTTGTATCTATAGCAAGCACATCTTCTGCATACTGCAAGCACCTCACCAAGGAAACGAACAGCACCGACACCACTAATTGTAACTGCTGACATTAAAAGATTTGGTATATTCTCATCTTTGAGTTTCAATCTGTGTGACTGCTTCAACAGAAAAAATGAAATACAAGCTTGAGGCAAGCACAAGGTGGCAACTGGCTCTTTGGTTCACTCCAGCCTTCCCAGATAGTAAGTAATCATTGTGGTCCTCCATGGATTCAAGCTGCATTCACATCATATCCTCAGCAATGTATTTCTTCTGCAGTTTCACCAAAAGAAAACCAAAGGAACTCAAATTCTTCCTTATGTTTGCCATGGACACCTCCCCTTATGAAGAGATTCAGGATCCATGTAAGCCTTCAACAAATGGAACAGGAAGAAACATCACTCAGCAAGGAATGTGTCCTCACTATTTAACACACCCATCATTTTCTAGGTGGGTTTACATCACTCACGTACATCACACATATCTTCAAAAGCTTCAAGTAAAAAGCAAGCTGCGGTGAACACACACTGTAAATAAACCTATTAAAAGCCTGGTTATTTTTTCCAGCGTGGAGGCTGGTTTCTATTCTAAGGACAAAATACAGTTCTGCCACTGAACTCACAATCCAGGTCATGCCCAAAAGGCTTTAAGCCACCTAATCCTAACAACATCCCTGTACAGCTTCCCCAGAGGCAGGTCTAAATGCCAACAGCCTCCCAGTGTCCCTTTCTGGAACACAGCACCGCCCAGGATAACGACACCAGGGCGTGCTGCTGCCGTCCTTCCTGCAGACATCTCCCATTCCCATCTACAGCAAGCTCAGCCCATCACCCTGACAGCAGGTTCCAGGAGGAACTGAAACCAGCAGTCTGCCCTGGTCACACTGCTCCAGCCTGTGCTCCTGATGGAAAAGGGCTGGGGGAAGCCGAGATCCCTTCTCTGGAGTTTTAGCTTTATTCTTCACCGAGCTGCACTTCCTCAACATGTCAGATCAGACTGCAACATCATCCGAAGGCGTCATCGTAGGCTATTTTTTATCAGATTATCTAATGCCTGCACAGAGCACACGGGCTGGAAAGTTAGCTTTAGAGAACAAATCATGTGCCACTGCACAGCCCTGGAACACTGCACGCGTGGGTGAACGGACACAGCACAGGCTGCCAGTCTGCAGCCAAAGAGGCTGCTGGGGTGCACGGCCACCCCTCACTCCCCATCTACAGGGCTGAGGAACAGGGTGGAAGAAAACAGCCAGATTCAAACCCAGTTATCGATCCCTGCTGTGGTCTGATCACCCTCATCACCATCAACCTTTTTCTTCTGGAAGTACACACATGCAGATATCAAATCACTACAAGTCTGTCTTCACTGGCACACGGTAGTCATTAATTGTACATCCAGGCACACAGTAAGGATCAGCTGTTGTTGAAACACCTTCAGTGCTGGGGAGACTCTCCCACCCTCTCATCTCCTCTTCATCTAAATACCAACTCTGCATCTTTAGTTTCACAGCTTGCAGGGGTTTTGGGAGCTACACAAGCATTAGGAGCTGGTTCAGCAGTAACACACGTTACACCACCACAAATAAGTGTTCAAGGCCAGGCTGGACAGGGCTCGGAGCAAGCTGCTCTAGTGGAAGGTGTCCCTGCCCATGGCAGGGGTTGGAACTGGATGAGCTTTAAGGTCCCTTCCAACACAAACCAGGCTGGGATTCCATGAAATACCTGGGCTCTGGCAGAGGTCGAGGGAAAAACAATCAATTTCTAAACAGCTACAGAAAAGTAAATATATTTACAGGGCAGTTTCTGCCTGTGCACCCCAGTTACACCACTGCTTTCCTGGAGCCTCCATGATCTGCTTGGCATTAGCAGTAAAACCCCCGGGGCGCAGCCTGCTCTCTGCAGTGCCCCATAGAGCTCCACAGCACCAACACTCTCTGCTTTCTGTCTGCCTGATGTGTCCACAGGAGCTGGTGAAACACCAGCTTCACACATTGCTCTGTAAGGAGACCAGGACAGCGTGTATGGGGCAGGTAGCGCCACTGAAGAGCAACTCAGCAGTGGCACGTTTGTCACCCCTCTCCACAGGCTCCAGACGATGGGACACGAAGCAAGAGCCTTTTAAAAGACACTTGCGAAGATGTTTGTTGGGGTCAATGCCAATGGCAGGACTCTTGACAGGAAAGGCGATTAGTGAAGACCTGGTTATTTGTACCTGCCATTTCCAAGAACGACAACAGAGATTTGTCTTCATAAGCAAACATCTGCTTTGCACGGAACAACAGAAAAAAGCCCGAGTTTTACTTAACTTTTACATTTCTAGTATGTAAACCCCAGAGGCCTCCAGCTGGCACGATAAGGGTAATATTGCATCTCGTGTGCTGAAGTGAATCCCTGAAGAGAATCGCATTTTCTGGAGACAGCCTACCCACGCTGACAATGCTCCCAAGGCAAAGTCATGGCACAGGGATTTCTACGAAGAACCTTGGGTCAGCAGGAAAAGTGCTGTGTACCATTTGGAGGGACTTCTCCCTTTACGTAATGAATTCTCCACGTCTGCTTATCAGGAATACAACCAGAGGAGCGGGGTCACACAGCGGGATCCAAGGGGGCCCAAACCCCTTCCATGGGGCTGATGCTCCTGACAGAACACGTCCAATCCCGCAGGAGGCGGGGAAGGGAGAACAACCCCGCATTTAAGAGGGAGCTCTGTAGGGCCGGTCTCTGGCCTGCGGGGGTTTCAACCTGCGGCAGCGGGGACCCCAAGTCAGCGATGAACTGAAGCTAACTGTAACGTCCCGGCCCAGCCCCGCTCCCGACCTGCGGGCTGGGACCGCGGCGGCGCGGCCCTGCAGCACCGCGGGGGTCGGGCTGACAACAGCGGCCGGGGACCGCCGCCTGCGCGCAAGGTCGCCCCGGCCCCGAGGCTGCACAGCCGAGGAGGAGCCGCCGCTCCGCAGCCCGAGCGCGGCCCGCCCGCCGGCAGGGCCCACCGCGCCCCAGCGGGCACAGAGGCCTCCGCAGCCCCGGTCACCGCCCCGATCCCCGCCTCTCCCCGCAGCGGGGCAGCGGCTCCGCTCCCGCAGGCCCGGCCCAGGCCCGCAGCCCTGGGAGACGCCCGGCCTCGGGCCAGGGCTGAGGCGCCGCCCGGCTCCTTGCTCCTGGGCACAGCCGCGGGGGAAGGCGGTGGAGCCCCGGCCCCGGCCCCGTCCTCCCCGGCCCCGTCCTCCCCGGCGCGGCCTACGGAGCCGCGGGCCCCCCTCACCTGCTGGTACCGGCCGCAGCCAGGCTCGGCTGCCGCCATGGCGCTCGGCGGGGCGAGGGCGAGCGGGCACGGAGATGGGGTCTCGGCGGCGGCGCTGCCCGGCCGCCTCCCGACGGGCTCGGCGGAGGCGCAGGAGGCGGCAACCGGGTCGCTCCTTGCTGCGGGCTCCGCTCCCGCCCTCCCCCGTCACGCTCGGTCGCGCCCGCCTCCCGCCCCGCCCGCCTGCGGGGCCGGGGCGGGCCGGGGCCGAGGCCCGCTGGCAGCGGGGTCCGGAGCGGTGGTCGGTGCAAGGGCCAGGCCGGCTCCGCTGGTGCCCGGGGAGCGACCGGAGCCGGCCCGGAGCGGGCCCCGGGGCCCCCGGTGCTCCTCTGCCCGCGGGGTGCTGTGGGCCGGCGGTTTGTGGGAGCTGCAGAAGTGACCACACAAACTCTGTGCACCACTTTATTATATATTATATGTTATACATTTTATATATTATATAATGAAACTTCATGTATGATTATTCAGAATGAAAGCTTCCATAGAAAGTGTTGTTAAACCGTGTTCTGGGCTGCATCCACAGAGCATGAGCAGCACATGGAGGGATGGGATTCCACCCCTCTGCTGTGCTCTGGGTAGTTCTGGTCCAGCTCTGGGCCAACGGCACACGAGGAGCGTGGAGCTGTTGGAGCGAGCGCAGAGGAGGCCATGGAGCTGCTGCGAGGGCTGGAGCAGCTCTGCTCTGGAGCCAGGCTGAGAGAGCTGGGCTGGGTCAGCCTGGAGAAGAGAAGGCTCCTGAAGGGGAGACCTGAGAGCAGCTCCAGTGCCTAAAGGGACACTGGGACTAGGTGATGTGTAAGGTCCCTTCCAACCCAAACATTCTGTGATTTTATGATGACTCTGTGAAACCCACTGAGTCAGAAAATTGAAATAAACCCGTGTTGAAAAACAAGGCCACCTCAGCAAGAACGCACCAGGGCACCCACAGAAACCAGCACCGTCCTAAGCCACATTAACCAAGGCTTGGCCATATGTACCCCTACCTATCCCCATCACCAACACCCCATCGGTGTGCTGACACGTGCCTGCACTGCCATCCGCAGCGGCGTACCCGCACAGGCAGAGAAGAGGCCTGCGACATGCTGCGCTGCAGCTGAAGCAAATACGAGATGTTGGCCAACTCCTCCGAGAGCACCATCAGATCTTTCATATCCACAGAAAGCAGATGGCATCGCAGATTTGAAACCTCAATCCAAAAGAAGCACGCGTAGGAAACCACACGGAGATAGAGCCTGGTTTATTCAGACGGGTTTCTGCGTTGAATGTTGCACTGGTGAAGAGACTTCCCAGCTTGTGTAACCTTTATATTCTACGTGCGCAGTCCAGCTATAGTCAGCCTTGTACAGAACTACCCACATCAGTCCCTAAGGTTTATGAGGCTTAAATATATCAGCTTTAGGATGAGGAAGGCTGAATCAGCCCCCCTGGGATTCCAAGCTGCAAATTCAGAGTCGGAAGCATTTAAACCTGAGAACATCGGTTTGAACTACTCAGTCATAAATACATGCCCTGATGCTCATTAGTCAGGGCCATAATCAGGTTGGACATTTCCTTTTTTTGCCTTTGCAGGAGTAGATAGCTCACTGCTGCCTTAGTGAGATGAACGGATGTCATGTTGAAGAAGAGGCAGAAATCATAAAGGATTTTAGCCAGGAATAACCTCAAAGGGCAACTCATGAGAAATGCTGGAGACGCAAGGAGAACGCACGGTTCTTGCAACACAGGTACCTTTGAAGGAGCTGGAATGCGAGCTGCAGGCGCTGGCGGGCTCTCTGGTTTCACCTTTCCACAACATTCACCATTTGCACTAAGAATCTCCCTGCAGTAAGAAGCTGTCCTGCTGACACGCACAGATTTACTTGCCATTGAGGTGGGATTATAGCCCTAAGGCTATAGCCACACTGGTGATTAGCTGTGCACTGATTGACTCAGACATCGTAGACACTAAAAAAAGAAGCAACCTGTAGATGCCTGCAGGAAGATGCTGGAATGTATCCTGAAGAAATGGTGAAGCAGTTTGTGTCAGAGCCATTCTGGGGCTAGCTGGAGGCAAACCACGGCCTAATTAGGCCGTGTAGTCTGAGCAAGACTAATTTGCGGGGGGCAATGCAGTTTCTTCCAGCTGCTTTCTGTGTGTGTTTGATTTTCTGAGGTGGGGGAAAGCTGTAGAAAGATGACTCTGTGGTTATAGCGCATGACTGGTTCTGCTTTCCTTTCCCACATGGGTTTGGGCACATCACTTCATGCCTCTGTGTGTTTTGACTCTTCCTCCAGTGCAAAGTGTCTTTTCTCCCAAGAGGTGTTCTGAAGCTTGAAGTCATTGCTTTTCATTGACTTCCACATGGGATGTGCTGTGGAAGTATTTGAAAGCGACTGAATGTGTTGCAGAATTGCAGTAGAGAGTCTTCTGAAATCACTGTACAATAGCACTGCACAAGCGCTCCTTTAATTGTTGTGTATGACTGCGCAATAAAGGGAACACTTTTCATCTGCACTTTGTAATAAATATTGAACGCTAAAAGCTAAATAACAAACCCCAGAGGCAGGGTGTTTTAAAGCTAGAATAGTGAGAAATAAGCAGGGCACCCTGTGCCAGGGCTTCACCACTCTCACAGGGAAGAACTTCTTCCTTATGTCTCATCTCAATCCCCAACGCAGCCTTGTCGGGAAGGGACTGGCATGTGTGTGCTCTAGAGCTGTCTGCTCGTGCACCACCTCAGCACGTTGGCTTGTGGTGACCCCCCCAGCAAACTCCTAACTGGGATTTGGGTGCTGCTGGGAGAGCTAAGCAGGGAGTGGGGCTCACAGGGCCGACATCTGCCCGACATGGAATCTTGTTTCTCCTTTTCTTATAAATAGAGGTGGGAAGGTAAGTGGAACATGCTGGAGCAGGGAGAGGTGACAGATGGTGGATATTAAAAAGACTTTGATTACAGGATTTGGAGAGAGGGGCCTTTATGGAGATAATTTTTTAATTGTTGCTTTTTTTCAGGGAAAAAATCCCAGTGCTCCCAAGCAGTTCCCAGCGAAAGCCCTGGTCTCTGAGCACTGTTGACTCTAATCACTTCGACACAGAGAAAAAGAAAATGCTGTGCTTGTTAGAACTCCTTGGTTCAACTTCTTCTGCGGAGAAGTGTTTGTTTCCTTCCATCTGCTGCCTTTGCAAGGAAGGAAAATCAGCGTGCTCAGATACCAGGAAGTTCTTCAACATTTGCACAGCTAGCTGGAAATGCAGAAACAATAACATGCATAAATTATCATACCTAAAAATACCCTGCGTGCCAGTCACACATATAACCCAGCCCTGGAGCGACTCCTAAGTAACATAAGACTGCATAAAGTATGCAGATACACGGGATGTGGGCAGAACGGGGCAGCTGTGGCAGCAGATGCACGTGCCTGGCTCTCTTGTACCATTGTAGTTTCTTCCTCTCATCAAAACATGTTTTGCTTTTACTGGGAGCTGCCGGCTGCCTCCTTCATCTTTGTGCACTGTATCTGCCAAAGCCACTTGCACAGGAGATTAAAGCGAGAGCCAGACCCTTTGTGATCAACAGAGACCCCAGCATTTCAAGCAAATCCATCCTGACACTGGGGCTGTGTGAGCAGCGTGGTAGGATGCTGTAAGGCTGATCCTCAAATGCCACGTTTCTCCTTTGGGGGCAAAGTACAGCAGAGGCAGGGCAGGGATGGGTGATGGGTGTCCACAGGCCGCTCTGACAGCAGACAAACCCAGCCACCCCAGGGCAGGACACGGTTGTTGCCCTACAGCTCTCTGCTGTGGGAAGTCCATGGTGTCTCTTGCAATCAGTTCCTATGTGCTCCGTGTCTCCAGCAGTTGCTTTCCAGAACCCTCCGATCCCGCGCACGTTTCCATGGTAACGCCAAGCAATGATGCGGTGACTGCAGGGTTGAGGTGCTGGTGCTCTCTCCCCTCCGAGCCCTGCACCAGTTCTGGCTCTGCACACCAGAAGCTGCAGGTGAGCTGCAGTAACTGAGTCTGTGGTGGGAACTGTGGTTCTTCACCACAACTCCCCTCTCGGCGTCAGGTCAGAGGCCACACTCACCACATTCCCTGCATGCCGTCGGTGAATGAACAGCGTGGGAAGCGTTCAGACCCCAGGCAGGTCCCAGTGGAGGTACAGTCCTGTTCATCTGTGAACCCACAAGCACTGCAATTCCTGCCGGTGTCCATGGCACCAATCCCACCAACATGACCCCCATGGGAACAGTGGAAACGCTGTTTCACCCAGAACCAGAGCCCAGGCTGCCCTGCGCTGCAGCAGGGACGAGGATGCTGCTGTCAGCTCTTCACCCATCACCACAGCCACTGCAAGACTTCCCTGCCTGCTGGCTAACCAGTGCTGCTGCAAACACATGGCACTTTCAGTTCACTTAGTCTCTGTAGCCTAAAACTCTTCCCGTGACCAACCACAGCCTAGCTACAGCCCGTCACACCCTTCCTTCCTCATCCCAATGCAAACCAAGCCAGGACTTCTCAGCATCCACAATGAGACCCAGTGTGAGGACCACTCAGCCAGCCAGGCCGTTTGAATGGGCTGGATCCTAGCACAGCCGTTGGTTATTATGTGTCCTCCTGATGAAAGTGAAAAGCTGTCTAAATGCAGCGAGAGCTTTGACCTCAGCACCCAGCCCAGACTGCAAGGAGAGCCAGTCACGTCTCCATCACAGTTGAAGGCAGCTGGAGCCAAAGCAGAAGCCAGGTCTTTTGGGGGTGCCACTGCTGTCAGGAGCAGCACAGGCACCCGCAGGGCATCATCTGCTCATTGTCTCTGCAGCTGAGGACCCAAATGCCCCTAATCTGCCCTGAAATGGTCCCTACAAGGTGTATAAAGGATGAGCGCTCCTCATTCCTGCCCAGGACACAGCTCACGGCTTCCCTTTAGGGATCAGGGGTCAGTGAATGACACGCGGAGCGGCTGAAGGACCGAGTCAGGCAGATCCCTGATACCGGGAAATAAAGGGTTAACACTGTGCCTGCTTGCTTAAGCAGTCACTGTGCTTGGTGAAGCAGAACTGTAGGAGTCAAAGTTGCTAGAATGGTGAAGCAGAATTGTAAGAGTTACAGCTGCTTGGCAGAATTGTAGTAGGTAAGATTCATAGCTCAATATTTAAGACATTCTTGTTCAAACAGTATCTTTAGAAAGAAAAGGAACAGAAGATAGCCAGAGTAACAAAATTTACAAACTTGACAAGTTTCTGCTTTAAGATACATAAAACCGGCTTGTACCGAACCTGAGGTCTGGATCGGAGCCGAAACCCTATTGAGTCTGCGTGAAAGCAAGAGGTGACTCATGGTGATGAAGAGGAACTACAGGCCTTCATCCTCATGACCCCCTAACGAGCACCACCAGGAGGCACTGCGCAGGCGCACCAATGGGATGAATGCCAGAAAACTAATTATACTACTAGACGGGAATAGGTTTTGCATATGTATTAGGCGTGAAGCATGTTTAGGTAATCATTACATGTAATATAAACGAACTGAGTGGCAAAGGAAAGGTGCGCATGCTTTTGGAGGAGCAATCCCCATGCGCCTCAGCGCTGAATAAAGCATACCTACTTTACAACTCTAACGAGGTGTGGAGTCCATCCACGTATCATGCCTGCAGTGGCAGGGACCCCTCAGCACACGCATGAAGGAACAAGGACGTTTCACAGAACCCCAGCCTGGTTTGGGTTGAAGGGACCTTAACGCTCACCCAGCTTCAAGCCGTGCCACGGCAGGGACACCTTCCACTGGAGCAGCTTGCCCAAACACTTCATTACTGGCTGTATTTAACCACTTCTGCTCACTCTAACCCCAGGCTCGAACCCTCCAGCGGGGCTCCTGAGGCGAGCGGGCGGGCGCCGTGAGGGGCGGAGCGGGAGCGGGAGCGGGCGCGGGCGCGGGCGCGGGCGGCGGCCCTGCCGGCGGTGCTGCAGCCGCGACCCCGGCTCCGGCCGTGCCCGTGCCCGTGCCCGTGGCCGCGGAGGGGATCGCGGGGAGGCGGCGGCAGGTAGGTAGGTGGGTGTGCGGGTGGGGGAGCGGGGAGGCGGCGGGAAGATGGCGGCTCCCGTCAGCTCGGCTCCCGCCCCGCGCAGGCCCCGCCATGAAGCTGGTCATCCTGGAGACGTACGCGCAGGCCAGCGAGTGGGCCGCCAAGTACATCCGCAACCGCATCGTGCACTTCGCGCCCGGGCCCGGCCGCTTCTTCACGCTGGGGCTGCCCACAGGTGGGTGCCGGGGCCGGGAGCGGGGGCCCTTCCCCTGTCCCGGCCCCGGCGCTGAGGCGGCGGCTCCCCGCAGGCAGCACGCCGCTGGGCTGCTACAGGAAGCTGGTGGAGTACTGCCACAACGGGGACCTCTCCTTCCAGTACGTGAAGACCTTCAACATGGACGAGTACGTGGGTGAGTGACCGCAAAGCAGAAGTGCTGCTTCTCCGTGACCTGTTGTGCTCTGGGTGTGCAGGTCTGAAGGGCCTGAGGAGGGGCAGATGTGCCCCAGTGCTCGGTACCGCAGCCGGACTCTGGTGTCAGCACACGGTGCGTGCAGAGAATCCCACTGAGGAACGTTCACAACAGGAGGGATAACGTTTGTGTTGGCCATGGCAGTGAACAGGGCAATTCTGAAATCCATGTAAGAAATATGACCAGAGAGCTGGAGCCAGGCTGGAGAAGGCTCCTGAAGGGGAAACCTTAGAGCAGCTCCCGTGCCTAAAGGGGCTGCAGGAAACCTGGAGAGGGGCTTGAGACAAGGGCCGGTAGGGACAGGCCAAGGGGAATGGCTTGAACCTGCCAGAGGGGAGACTGAGATGAGCTCTTAGGCAGAAGCTCTTCCCTGTGAGGGTGCTGAGGTGCTGGCACAGGGTGCCCAGAGAAGCTGTGGCTGCCCCATCCCTGGCAGTGTTCAAGGCCAGGTTGGACACAGGGGCTTGGAGCAAGCTGCTCTAGTGGAAGGGGTCCCTGCCCGTGGCAGGGGCTGGAGCTGGAGGAGCTTTAAGGTCCCTTCCAACACAGACCAGGCTGGGGTTCTATGTTCCTATGAAATCCTAAAGGGTATCAGGTGTGTGGTACCATACACACTGGACACTGCTGTTATTTTACATGAACTTAGGTACTGATTGACCAAGGATCCCCGCAATACTGTGCAATATTAACTACCACCCTTGCTGTGCGATTATAAAGGTCGCTTTAGGTTCAGGTGTCTGACAAGGACCAACATGTTACCTTGTGATTGCCCTCCTGTAACAACGAGCCCTCCTGTTGAGATAGCAGAGAACTGTTTCATTATGAAGCAAGCTGTGCTGAAACAGCCTCTTGAGAAGAAAGAGTACAAAGAGATTAGTAATAAGCCTGAAGTTCCAAAGGTGAAAGACACACGGGCTAATTATTTGCTAATGCTGCTTTTACTCTGGTGAAGATATTTTCTTGGAAAATCCTCATCAGGCAGCATTAGGGAATAGGCAGTCCAGGGAGGGTTTATAGTGCTCAAGGTGGTAACAGATGAGGCACAGTGCATGCCTGCTTTCTGGAACATCTGCTGCATGTTAAGATGAGCACATACAGGAGCTCTTATAGGAGTCTTTGAGGAGCTACAGTGATTGATTTTAATTGTGCTATTTAAGGAAACAAAACCAACTCGTGGAAGTTGAGGGAGTCACAAATGACAGCCAAAAGCAGAGCTCTGTTACCAAAGCCACTGCAAGGGCGTAGAGGTGGCTTACGTTATGGGTGATATTCTCTCAGTTGGTCGTAGTCCTGTCCATGCTCTGCTGCTTCCAGGTCTCCCGAGGGATCACCCGGAAAGTTACCATTCCTTCATGTGGAATAACTTCTTCAAGCACATCGACATCTCGGCAGAAAACGTTCACATTCTGGATGGGAACGCCCCGGATCTGCAGGTGGAGTGCGACGCCTTTGAGGAGAAAATCAAGGCAGCCGGAGGAATCGAGCTCTTTGTGGGAGGTGAGGCCCAAAACACTGATAGCCTCTTAACCCCACTGGCAGGAAGCGCTGCCTTCCTCCACCAGCTAGCCCATGTACTGGTGGGACTGTGCATGTGCAGTGCAGTGGGTCTGCAGTGAAAGCCACCCCGTGCTCATTGCCCTGGGCACTCCTGTGCTGGCAGCGTTGCCTTCCAGTGCACTGCTCCCCCCATTTGAAGTATTTCAATCCAGTAAGTGAATTGTTCGGGAATGGATTAGCAGGAGAAACGGGCAGCGCTAGAATTGCACCAAATACAAAATGTACCGCTATTGCCAGTGCTAACAGGACACTGCCAGGAGCAGTCGGAGTCCTCTGAGCACAGAGGAGTTGAAGGCAAGCTTTTCCTATCAGTTTGCCTGAAGATTCTGCCATCTGCTCTGGTCCGTTGCTGTCCCATTAGGGACCGTTAGGGAAGAGTCTCTGTTGGCTTCAGAGGGGCTTTTGCTGTCATTTCTACCAGAAGCTAATCTGAGCTTGAACAGAAAATGGCAAGTGTTTTTCTCAGATGTGTATCTGTTCCTGGAAGCACTGAGTGTCCCTCTAACAGGAATGCTGTTCTCCCTGCTCCCCAAGACAACCAGTACAGCCACTGACCTTCTCAAACTGTCTCTGTCACAGGTATTGGCCCAGATGGTCACATTGCCTTCAACGAGCCTGGCTCAAGTTTGGTATCCAGGACACGAGTGAAGACCTTGGCTATGGACACGATACTGGCCAACGCCAGGTTCTTTGATGGTGACCTCTCCAAAGTCCCCACAATGGCTCTGACGGTCGGAGTAGGCACGGTCATGGATGCCAGAGAGGTTAGGAGGAAGGCAGTGACTCCATACAGTAGCTCTTTAACAGGGCTTCCTGGAACAGCTGAAGATGATTCCGTTTTGGAGCTGCAATGCACCCTGCTGGTGTAGGCCAGCTGATGCCTTTCCTGCTGCAGACAGCTGAATACCTGATCCTCTTGCTCCATCTTCCTTTTTTGCTCTACCAGCAGTTAGGTTTGTGTAACCCTGCAGTACAGTTGTTATCCACAGGGAGCTAGGAAGGTTTGGGAGGATGTGTTTGATTAAATATCTCACCTGGGGAAATAACTGCAAGAATCACAGGTTGACTTAATGTCCCACCAGCAGATCATGAAATCTGGGACAGCTTTTAATGGAGTCTGTACCTCGACTTCATTGACAAAATGCAGCCAAAACTGTGATACAGTGAAGTGCATCTGTGCAGGATGATGGAGCTCTATTAGGGACCAGCGCAGCAATCTTTGTTCAACAGGGGGGTGTGTGTGCTCTGAAACCATCTTCCAGACCCTAACTGCCATCTTCTGTGTCTTGGGGTCCAGGTTATGATTCTTATCACAGGAGCCCACAAAGCCTTTGCTTTGTACAAAGCAATTGAGGAAGGTGTCAACCACATGTGGACAGTATCTGCTTTCCAGCAGCACCCCAACACTGTGTTTGTGTGTGATGAGGACGCCACGCTGGAACTCAGAGTTAAGACTGTGAAATACTTTAAAGGTGGGTATTTGAGCAGGCCAAGCAGCTGTTGTATTTAGTTTTTAAGAGGCACAAGCCATGCTTTGCATTAGATGTTGCTGATACTCAGCTCCCAAAGGAGTACATTTCTTAACTGTAACAGCTGAGGTATGCAGCAGTAACAGAAGTGCAAAGGTAGATTCTTAACTGCATGGGAATGAGAGCAAAGGAACAGGGACTGTAGTGATGTGTAATTTCATTAGCATCCAATGAAAGAGAATGTTGCCTTATTATGTCTGTTGAAGTCATCTTTTCACTTCCTCCATCAGGTTTAATGCTGGTTCACAACAAGCTTGTGGAACCGTTATACAGCATGAAGGAGACTGGAGAAGAAAAAAGCCACTCCAAGAAGCCATACAGCGATTAATAAGACTGCTCAGAGAGGTGCTGAACCAGCTTTCCTGCTGCAAACCAGCTGTGAAAGAAGGGAATTGCTGCATAAACTTGGATGTGTTCCTAAATTAGCAAAGTGATTATGTGCTGCTTCTCTCCATTAAAAACATGCCCAACACCTGCCCTGACTAACCAAATGTGGATGGATCCAGTGCATTGCGTTCCACAAGCTTCTGCCACTGCCATGTTCTCTGAAGGTAAAGTCAGTGGAGAATGAGCTGTTTCCCCCATGGAGCAGCTCTGCTGATGTGGACTGAAGGCTGCAGAACTTAAATATGGAGAGACACAAAACTCAGTGTTGCAGAAACCAAATGGGTCAACGCTTTGGGATGTATTCCTTGCAATTAGGTCAAGCACCAGTTTGTCCTTCCCTCCACAGATCACCCTGAGATGCTCAGACTGGATATAAGGAAGAAATCTCCCCGTGAGGACAGCCAAGCAGTGGGGCAGGTTCCCCAGAGGGAACCTGCAGTCTCTGTCCTCAAGAGCATTTCAAGACCTGACTGGATTAAGTGCTGGCTGAACCCTGCTTTGAGCCAGACAAAGCTGAAGCAGTTAAGTTCTCTTGCTGCCCCTTCCTGTACTTTTACTTCTGCTACAAGGAAATCCCAAATAATCATAGAAGCATAGAATAATTAGGGTTGGAAAGTACCTTAAGATCATCCAGTTCCAACCCCCCTGCCATGGGCAGGGACACCTCACACTAAACCATGGCACCCAAGGCTCTGTCCAATCTGGCCTTGAACACTGTCAGGGATGGAGCATTCACAACCTCCCTGGGCAACCCATTCCAGTGCCTCACCACCCTCACAGGAAAGAATTTCCTCCTTATATCCAATCTAAACTTCCTCTGTTTAAGTTTTAACCCGTTACCCCTTGTCCTGTCACTAAAGTCCCTAATGAGGAGTCCCTCCCCAGCATCCCTATAGACCCCCTTCAGATACTGGAAGGCTGCTATGAGGTCTCCATGCAGCTTCTCTTCTCCAGGCTGAACAGCCCCAACTTACTCAGCCTGTCTTCATACGGGAGGTGCTCCAGCCCCTGATCATCCAAATAAGCCTCAAGGAAGAACTGTTCCCTCTGGAATTACACAAGTCCCACACTGCTGGACAAAAGCCTGTACTGACAAGACCCCATGAATTCTGGAACTTGATCCCTGGGTTTCCTATCAAATGTTACCATGCGAGGGCCAAGACAGAGCGGGCAGCATTTACTCCCCCCACGCAGAAGTGCTGTAAGCTGTTACTCTGTGATGTAACTTTCTACACTAAATGTCTTTAAGTTTTCTAACTGCTCACGTTTGTACCTGGTGCTCAGTTTCACTGTGCTTATGAAGCACAGAACGGTTCCTGTGGGTCAGCAGGACTGGGAACACAGTCTTTGAGCAGAACAAAACCTTCAAAGCATGAGAAAGAGCTGTCATTTTGCACAAGCTTTCAGTAGCACCTAGAGCCAAAGCTGTACAGAGAGAGTCTGGTAGGAACAGCCACTGCTGCTCCCTCCTTCAGGCCTCGGCCAGTGTTTGCAGGCAGCGTTCCACCACACACCTGCTGTGCTCCTGTCCTGCCATATAAAAATGGCTCTTAGGCCTTTAAAGGAGAAGGAGGTCACAGCTCTCTGCCCAGTACCACAGTACCTGCACATAACCTAATGCTCCTTCTGTGCATGCAGAAATGGAGGTGGACTTTACAAGAGGGGAGAAAAAACAAGGAGGAAATGGCACCACAGTACCCAAGCTGCCTGCCCCGTTCTGTGAAGATGGGTTGGGGGTTATCTGTCCTACCTTTGCAGCACTGATTGCGCTTTGAGTGAAGTCCCCTGCCTGTCCCTTCCTCAGAGGGTCTGTCCCTGAGTCCTAAGTGCCCAGAATTCACACACGGTGGTGACCACATCACCCCTCTTCCCCTCCATGCACCGTTTGTGAAAGCAGAGGTAGGCCACTGCGGCACCTTCAAATACTCCCTATAGCATTTGTGCTGTGGTGGCTCTGGTGGACATCCCCAGCCACAGCTTTCCATCCCAACATACCCTCCAGCGTCCCAGCTCTGCCCTCAGCCCACTTCTGTCCTGGCAGAAAGGACATGCCTGGCCTGCTGTAGGTTTGAGAGCTCCAGCACCATCTCCTCCACCCAGGCAGGAGGCCAGGGTTTAAGCGCATTCCTTGTCACAAATATTCCCATCCAGAAGCAGGCAGCTTCTGGAGTTAAAAATTATGGCCAGAGTGGAAACTCCAGTGGGAATGGCAGCTCAGAGCTGGTGTCACCCTCTGCAGTAATCCCAGTGTGGCATCGTGAACAGCCACCGGGTATCCTTGGAGCTCAGGGAAAACTTGGGCTCTTTGGGTGCAAGGTCACTCAGAACATGAACAGCCAAGCCTCTCAGCAGCACACACCCCGTACAGCTTCACCCTACAGCTTTGCACCAGCCCCACTCTACTCTGTCATTCTGCAGCCCAGTGACTCAGCCCCATGGCACACAGGAGCCAGCAGCCATCACCACCCAGGCACAGACCTGCACTGCCATAGACATGCCAGAACGTAGACAAACAGGGAGACAACTGTGTTTGCTGTCTTAAAGTGAATTTAGTGCAGGTGAAAGGTGCAGGAAATACAGTTTAAACCATACACAATGTGAATTTTCCCTACACACTGTCCCACAGGCTAAACCAAGACAAGATCCACTCTTACCAGCTCATGTTTCTAATCACTGCCAGTTCTAAGAGCGCAGACCCCCCCATCCTCTGCAGAGGGCACTAAATCAGTACTCGTTTTGGCCAGGTATCTGAGTATAAATTTATTTACTATCAATCAAAGCTGAGTGAGAGGAATTCACCTTGAGCCTCTAAAGAGCCTCCCGGTGGCCAAGATACCCCCGGCCCCTGCTCTTTGATTTGAACCCAAGAGATGCAGTTTTAATTTCAACATTTTTAGACCATTCTGCGCATGGAAAAACCTCTTCAAACTGAGCAGTTCCCTGCAGCATTCTCTGCCATGCTCCCAGCACCACTCACTGAGCTGCCAGGGAAACCAGCTGGGGTTTGAAACAGTGTGAAGTGCAAGAACAGTGGAAATAAGGGATCTAGTCCAGAAGCAAACCTAGCAACTTACGAAGAGTTAGTAAAAATAAATTACTTCATCATCTGAGAAGGGCATTTCAGTATCTTCAAGAATTCATCTTACTCTCAGCTATGTATCCATGAACATGTGTTTCAATGTCTGACTGATGCTTTCCACCCTCTCACTGGCCACTCACTCAGTGCCTTAGCACTGGCAAGATAAGGAGAAGCAACACAAGTGAATTTGCCATCAACACTGAGACCTCTGACCGGCTGCACCTGCCTTTAACAATCAATAGGATTATCAGGGCTTTCCACAGTGACCCTGACTGCAGGATGGGTGAAATGCTCTCCTTTGGTTTTGGCCACAGCCTTTGAAGGGTGAGGATCCTGCAGTGCAAGGTTGGTACCATTCTTCTACCACGCAATAGAAGGGGAAAGCAAACAAACTTGACATGAAACTGGAAGCACCTGATTCTGCTTTGCTCAGTGTTGTTGCTAGAGAGCTACTGCTCTTCATCTTCATCTTCCCAGTACTCCTCCTCAGTAAGCATGGCTTGAAACAACCTGCAAGGCAGCCAGCAACTCACATCAGGGTGTAAAAAAGGTAAAACACCCACCAAAAATGGGACAAAAGCTACAAAAGCCACAAGTTTCAGTATCTTCAGTATCACAAACCACCGGTGCTGCAGTGCCCCAGGTCGATCAGCATGACCTGAACAAAGCAGCTCTGCAGCACGTTAACACCAGAAGGCAGGAAGAGGCTCTGCCCTGTGAGGGTGCTGAGGTGAACACGTACCTGTTGAAGCAGGGGGAGGATGGGTCATTGAAGTGCCTGTACGGGTTCACCCTTGACAGAGAGCCCATGCAGAGCCAGCAGAAGTACTGCATGCAGCCCGTGCACGTCATCTTGTTACACCCATCGAGTTTCTGAGGGGAAGAAAACAAGAAATGGCAATAACCAAGTCTGGACCAACCCCTGACGTTTTCTCCCTGTTGCAAAGGTCTAGGAGCTACAATCACACATGGCACATTGGCTTGAATAATAATAATCATCATGCTGGAAATTAGTATTTTTCTGAAGCTATTTGTATTTCCTGGCTGTTGTGGAAACAGCAGTAGCCTGAAACACATGGAAAACAAAGGGATCCACACGGATCCACAGAAAACCAGGATCATTTTAGTCCTGGAGTCTGAAGAACCCCAGCTGCTGTATTTACCCAAGTCCCTGAGCTCCAGAAACATCACCTCCTTTTCCATACAACACAGAAAGGGAAAATTCTCTCACCATTTCCTAGCAGTTTGCCCTCCCTGGTGACCCTGGCACCTACAAACCCATCTCTGTTCCAGCCTAAGCACAGAACTGACTTCATCTGAGTTTGTGCGCAGACTTACTACGACTCCTCCACCTCTCCCCTCTGCGCTTACCTCTATGTGAGTACCACAGCAGGGACAAGCCTTTGAGTTCTTTTCCAGCCATTCTTTACTCTCTATCTCCTCAAGAGCCTTCTGAATCACCCGTTTGCCGTAGCGTTGTTCCAAAAACCTTTTAGTTGCCTCATCTGCTTCTAAATACTCATTTCGCAAAGCCATTAATTTCTCTGGGGAGTAAATCAAAACCAACCCAAATAAAACAGGAAGGAAATAAAACAGGTTTTGTCAGATATTACATAAAGGAGGCCAGCAAGTAACAGCATAAATACTCTCAAAGGAAACTAACATAACTGATAAAAAAGCAAGGAGGACATTGGAATACGTAAGATGAGAATATTAAAACCTCCCTACCCCAAAATTCAACAGTTTCTCTCTGTTATACTTTACATATATACATTTACACCATTATAAAATAGGCCAGCCAATGGACTAGTCTAAAACGTAGACTAAGCTGAAAAATGGGAATGTTTTTTCTGAGCATACACTTAATGAAACTCTGTCACAGGATTTTGAGGCCAAACAGAGAAGCATCGCCCCGTTCCAGTAACAACCCTGAAACGGGAAGTGGTGGACACACAGGAAAGGGCAGGAAAAGGCACATGTAGAATTGCTCTTGCCTGCTGTGGCCTCTCAGCATTTGGCAATCAGCAGTTCAGGGACCCCCTGAGCTGTGGAGTGTCATCAAAGGAGTAATCTTTAATTGCCAGCAGCAGACCAGCTCCACATGAGTCTGATCTCTGGGGAAGCTCACGGGCTGATGAGTGTCTCTGCTTCTCTGCTGACTTTCAGTCTTTTCTATGCAAACCTTAACTGCTTCTCACTCCATTTCTGAAACATGGAGACTCACCTGCGGTGACTTTACAGGGGGAGACCCCGTGGTAGGTCATCTTACAGAGGGTGCAAAAGGCATAGTTGCACTGGGAGCACATGGCCATGGTGCAGCCCGGTTCCTGCATGACGGGGGTCTGGCAGCACGGGCGAGGGCAGTACACCACGTCTGCCATCAGGTCCAAGCTCGACTGCAGGAGCAGGCGGTCGTAGCGTGCAAAGAGCTGCTCTCCAACCAGCTCCTTCACCTGAACAAAGACTACAGACAGGTCAGATGCACTGGAAATGCTGAGCCTGCTACCTGCAGCCACAGGGAGGCAATGAAAGGACCTGCAGCTGGGGTGAATCTGCTTTCCATGCCCCAATAGCTCATAAAAACACTTTTAGAAACGGTGTTTTCATGATTCATTAATGAAAGGAAAAGCATGCAGCGTGAAAAGGAATGGGACACTGATTCAGGCCTCTGACCGACATCAGGGTGAGCAAAGTAGGCAAAACATGTGCAGAGTGATCCCGTTTTAGCTCAGCTGCCCCAGTGCGGCTCAGAGGATGCAAAAAGCATTTCCCTGGACCTGTTCACAGGGCTCCCCAGGAAAAGCCACACCTCATCCTCTGTAATGATGGGTAAGGGAGCAGAACGCTACCACCGCTGCTCACACACTGCTATTACCTGGCCCGGCGTGGCTACAGAGGAGCACTTGGGTTCTGGGCAGTTGAGGCAATGGACCTGCCCGTCCCTGATCTGGATTTCAAAGTAGTCCTTGAGGCACGCTTTGCAGTAGACGTGGCTGCACTCGGTGAAGTGCATGCACTCACTGCCCAGCTTCTCACAGAAGCAGATATTGCACAAGTACATCTTGCTGTTAAAGCACTTCCTCCTCTGGGCCTGATCAAAGTCCAAGATCTCCCTGATCAGACTCGACAGTGATTCCACGTCCTGCACGGCTCTCGCATCCATGACTTCTTCCTCAGCTGCAGCAGAGCCCGCTGCACCGCCACAGTCCTCAGCACAGGGAGGGACCAAAGGTGTCCTGCCCTGCCCGCTCCCCTGGGGGCACATTTTCAGCTCATACGGGGAGGAAATATTGAGGTAACTCAGTGTTTCTTCCTTCAGAAACTGCATCCAGGCAAACAAGACCACGCAGCCTCGATTCTCTTCCCAGACGTTGTCCAAATGCTTGCAAAGGGCACTGAGCTAGGAAAGGAAAAACGATTCCAGATTTCAGTAGTTGACAACCCATGACTGTCTTCTTCCCTCCCATAGTCCTCCTTAGCCCATGCTGCCATCTCAGCCCCCACAGCTTTAAATATGTACATAAAATACAAATATCACCCTCAGAGATGCAAGCTTTCATTCCTCAGAAGAGCAACCAAATGAAAACAAGCAGGAAACAAGAGAAGAGCCAACTGGAAAAGCAATGTCATCGTTTATAGACCTGATATTTTAAGACCTTATATGTTGTTGTTTAAGGTCTTAGAGCAGCTTCCAGTGCCTAAAAGGGCTACAAGAAACCTGGAGAGGGGCTTTGGACAAGGGCCTGTAGGGACAGGCCAAGGGGAATGGCTTTAACCTGCCCGAGGGGAGACTGAGATGAGCTCTTAGGCAGAAGCTCTTCCCTGTGAGGGTGCTGAGGCGCTGGCACAGGGTGCCCAGAGAAGCTGTGGCTGCCCCATCCCTGGCAGTGTTCAAGGCCAGGTTGGACACAGGGGCTTGGAGCAAGCTGCTCTAGTGGAAGGGGTCCCTGCCCGTGGCAGGGGTTGGGGCTGGAGGAGCTTTAAGGTCCCTTCAACACAAACCAGGCTGGGGTTCTGGGATTGTCTTTCGTTTCCCCTGCTCCGTTAACACCCCTCGGAGCTGGGTTATTCATGAACTTGTTCATGGGCATAGAAGCTCTGTTAAAACGTTGCCAAACCTGGGCCTGGGAGAGCCATTTCCCACTGAGGGTGAAGGCGGGCGGGGAGGTGGAGGGGTAGTCTGGAGGGAGCTCGAAGTTCAGCACCAGGGGCGGCAGGAAGCAGACGCTGTACTCGAATCCACCCGTCTGGAGGCTGCCTCCGGAGCTGCCTGCACCTGAGACAACACCAAGGAGTGAGAATTGATGTCCTGCAGCACTTGGGAAGACAGAGCCTCAAGGGAAAGGAGTAATAAATGAACTCAGTTATTCCAAAGAAATCCTATTGCTCATCTCTGCTTTGGAAGGTCACCAAGGAGGTTGGATGTAGGAGGATGAAATCCCTACTCCAATCCAAGCCCCAGGAATGCCATGAGCACAGCACGGGGCCAGGTACGGCTCAGGTCGGTGTCCCTGCGGGTCACCAGGGTACCCCCTCGGTCTGGGATGACATAAAAGGTCTCAACTCACCGCTCACAAATACTTTGAAGTTTTGGGGCAATTCCAGGCAAATTCTTGTTTCTCCCCCTTGGGCAGACTCCGCTCTCTTGAACTCATCTTCATCATAGATACTGGCCAGTGCCAGCAGCTCATCCTCCTGGGCTTCTCTGTCTTCGGAAGACATTTAAACCTCCTGTGGAGTTAAAACCGCTCTTCAACATCCACCGAGCTAATGCACCCTAGTCAAAGGAATCATTTGGGGTCTCTGTTTCATGCTTCTGTTAGATCTACAAACGCAAGCAACAGATGCAGCAGTGTAAAACAGAATCAAGCTTTCTTACAGACAGAAGGATATTGAGGATTGTATAAAATAAACCCCTCAACACTGGGAAGTCAAAAAGCAAATGGTCTCTGTCAGCGGCTGAACCAGACCTGCTGCAAAAGTGACACAGGGACAGTGAGTTCATGCTTGAAAGGGACGGACGAGAAAGCCCGAGGATAACGAGTCAGTAGCAGCATCCCTCCTCCAGCGCTCCGAAACGAGCCAACAGCCCCATTTCCGGTTAAAGGTACTGAAGGCAGCAATGGAAGCTTCTGCTCCCCCCGACACCGCGCAGGTGCCCTCCTGTCCCCTCTCAGTTCTTGTTCAGGGAAATGAAGCCACGTTCAGTGGGTTACCTTGTGCTCACACGGCGCGGGGGCAAGCGGCAGGCTCCGGTCACGCACTAGGGGCAGCGGCGGCGGCGGGCGCAGCGCAGGGTCCCTGCTCATTCCTCCGGGGCACGGCAGCTCATGGGCTTTAGCTCCGGTAAGGCAGGAAAACCGCTGAGCTCCGCGGTGCGGGGCCGTGGCTCCGGTACCTGCGGGCAGAGGAACGCTCACAGGGGCTGGAGCCCTGCCCGTGCTCTCATTACTCCATTGACAGGCTGAGAGAGCGGGGCTGGGGCAGCTGGAGGAGAGAAGGCTCCTGAAGGGGAGACCTGAGAGCAGCTCCAGTGCCTGAAGGGGCTGCAGGGAACCTGGAGAGGAGAAACCCGCATTTCCAGGCCATGCCTCCCACCCCACCGCGCCCGCCGGCGTGAACGGAGGCCCCGCGGCACCCGAGGGCCCGCTCCCCGCCCCGGCCCCGCTCCGGCCTCACCGCGTCCCTGCCGCGGCCTCAGAGGAGCGCGCCCGGGGGAGCGCGGCGGGGCAGGTACGGGGACAGGAAGCGGGGACCCGGCCCCGCTCCCAGCGCACGGCTCCGCCCGCTGCAGCGCCCCCGGCGGCTGGGAGGCCCCATAGCGCCTGGCGAGACCAGCCCCCCCCGGCGGTACAGAGCCCCGGTCCCATACGGAAACACGGAACCGTTTGGGTTGAATGGGGATGGGGCAGCCACAGCTTCTCTGGGCACCCTGTGCCAGCGCCTCAGCACCCTCACAGGGAAGAGCTTCTGCCTAAGAGCTCATCTCAGTCTCCCCTCGGGCAGGTTAAAGCCATTCCCCTTGTCCAAAGCCCCTCTCCCTTCTGCTTCATTAAAGGGGTCTGAAGCAGGGTCTGGCAATTGCAGCTTCACCCGCAGCAGCACAAAAGGCATTAAAGACTTTGAGCTGTGCCCTGCCTCTGCCCCCCCACCACTGCCTCTGCATTGCAATCAAGAGCTGGAGAAGGTGATGGGGTAGAATCCAGTGCATTTATTTCTTGCAGTATCTGAATGGGTGTTCCAGGTTTGGATTTTAACAGATACAAATTAATGTTTGCAAGATTAATGACAATCAGTACTAGAAGCAAATCACTGCCTAAAGATCATAGAAAAAAAAAAAAGCCAAGATGTGTCAGGTCTTCCTTTTCCTGGGAAAAAAAAGCCAAACCAAACCCCAAGCATTCCAACTGAAGGCCTCATGGAAGCAAGCGTATCCCCATGGAAGCAAGCATATTCCCTGGAAGAGTTAGGAGCAAGTCAGAGTCAACGCTCAGCGCAGGCAGCAGAAATACAAGTATTCACTCTTTCTACAAGCAGCTAATTTCATTAGAGAGAAGCTTGCATGGTCTGATCAGGGGGAAGCAGCCAGGCACACACAGTCCCTGGCTAGGAGCACATTCAGGGATCCACAGGAGCTGCTCCTCTCTGAATGCATGCCAGGGATGCAGACCCACGATGTGAGGGTACCCATTAACATGATGGTACCAGCCCCTGCCTTGCAACCTCGTGTAACCAGGTGCTATTGGAGCGCACATGAACAAGCTGGAGCAGTGTGTTAACACTACAGCAAGGGTTAGATGAGGGTGAGTGACGGAAAGGTTCTGCGTCAGCCTCTGGTGGGAGCTTCCCCCAACCCCCAGCAGCTCCCACACCAGGGGACATGGCACCAAGTGCCACTGGGCCACCAGTGACGGGAAGTGAACAGAGAACCACAGGCCAGGGGTGCCTAGAGAACAGTGCTGCTGTCTCACCCCTCTACATCAAGGCCAGCTCTCCATGGCCACTACAAATAGAGAATGAACTTAGGGCTGTTCCTAAAGGTCTAGTAAAAATACCAACACTTCTAAATACAACCATAATGGCAAGAAATGCTGCTTATCTGAGCGAGGCACTGAGCGCCGCAGTCGACGCACTGACCGAACCTCTCCAGGAGTTCCTACGAGCGCTGTGGTATGCACTTGCTTCACTCTGTATTCAGAACATACAAAGTTGACAACTTAAAGCTTTATTGTAGTTCGCCATAATATAAACAGGTGCTGACACTCAGTCAATGTCCATCTCTGGAAGCTTCTTCTCAGCAGCTGGCGGGGCAGCAGCGCTCTGCTCGGCAGTGGGGGCCGCGGTGTTGCCTTCACCCTCCCCATCCACAGGTCCGTTGGGTTCAGGTGGCTTCTGCTCCTCCTTTGGGAGCTCAACTTTGGGTTTGGGTTTTCGGACAATAGGATTGCAAATACTTGTCAATTCCTGGAAATCAAACAAAACACAGAAGTGGGTTTATCCAACCACAGCTCTATGTTAACCTGTTGCTCAGGTGAACTCTGCCACCACCAGTTGGATATTCAAGCCACAGGCAGATGCTCCCCAATGATCAAGAGGTTAACACCCAGTCACTGTCCTGCCACCACAGACTTCTTCCCTTAAGGTCTCTCCGAGCATGACAAACTAGACCAATAATCAGAAAGATTCATGGAAATGCAGTGAATTATGTACAAAGACTTACTTTAATCTTGGCTTGTATGTCCTTCGCTTTTATCACTGGGTCCAACGTAAGACTTCTCTTGTTCTGGAGATTAAGGTGGTTGTTCATCCACTCCGTAGCTTCATTCGTGCTCTTCTCCACTTTTGCCACATCTGCTTCATCCAGGTGGTCATACTGTTCATCCTGAAACAGCAAAGCAGGAGTAGCTGTTCAAAACCAGTATCTGTCTAAGTGCACTGCACACTGACCTCCTCAAACCCGAGCTCCCGCACACCAGAAAGACCCATTTAGCCAGGAGGCTTTTGGAGCCAGCAGAGCAGTTCACCTGATCATCCACAGCTCTAATCAGAGAGCTGAAGTCCATGAGGAAATCCACACCTCATGGACTTAAGAGACTGTCAGGTTTTCAAGCCAACATCCACTTCTGAAAATACAGCCAGGAGGGTGCACCAGCTTGTTGAAGGAGCTTACTTAAAATGCAGAAAAGACTTGTAGCACTTGCTTGTATCTGCCAGAAATTAAATACATAAATACCTTTGCTCTGAATGCAAGAACAGTTTTCATGTACTGCTGAATGTGCTTTCCTAATTCCTCAAATGCTTTTGGCCTTTCCTCCGATTCTTGGTATCTTGCCTGAATAGGCTGGCCCAGAGCCTGAAACAGAGAACAGCAGGTATCAAAACCCACACAGCCATGGCTCCTGCACGATCTGATAGGGTACATTCACCACTTCTGAACCCCCCTGAAACTTCTACTATTCCCCCTACTTACAGGAAGGACTGAATCTCCCTCAACCCTGAACTGCTACAGGTTTACTGGAGGCCTGCTCCTCATGTGCTTATTAATGAGCAAGCTAAGCAGCTTGTTAGCAGTGCTCATCACTGCACCAGGAGAGCTCTGACAGCTCCCCACCTGAACAAAGCTCTCCACATTCCCACTGGAACTTACTGCATCCAAGAACCACTTACCCTCAATTCCACCAACTTGTCAATGTAAATTTGCTTGGGTTGGTCTTCACCATCTTCATAAAGCCAATTTTCTGTATCCTCTAGCTTCAGTGTGAAACTATTTCTATCCTGAAGGAACCCACACAAAACAGGTAGGTGAGATATTCTGTTAGATGGTATTAAATGATGCTCAGAACCTTTCTGGAAGGGTTACAGGCTAAAAATGTGAGAACTCGTTTGAAACTATTTTAATGAGAAATCAGAAATCCTTCAGTATGGCTTTGTGGTAGAGCCCAGGGCTAAGGAAGAACCCTCCATCACAGCTGAGACCAGTACTGTCCCACAAACACCTATTCCCCCCACCTTTATTTTCTATTCACATTTTCATCATCAGTCCACAAGCAAGCCAGAGAACAGACAAAAACTCATCTTTAGTGAGGGAGTGATGAATCCCACTCAACTTGGCCCACTTCTGACTCAGATGGAGGTGCCTGGGCTCTACATGGCAAGGCTCCCACTGCCACCAACAGGGATCCAGGCAGGAGTTTGCAGTGACTCAACTGATTACCACAGTCCCCTAACTTTAAAGCTAACACACCAAGCTCCGTTAGTACAAGAGGGAAAGCTAATTAATAACACCAAGAGATTTTTAGGGCAACCTGTCCAGACACAGGCACCCACCTTTAGTCAGACCAATCCCTTGATTTTGTGCCCAGGTAGGACTGTCTTTGAGGTTTTTATTCTTTACACTATTCCTAAATACTGACAAAGAAGCAGAATAGGACAAGATGCACGAAAACCTTAAAAGCATTGTGCACATGCACCTAGTCTGTTTCAGTCTCAAAACATACACTCTGATAACACCTTAACTGCTGCAACTGCTTTGGACTAGAACACACCATGTATGCTGGGTACCATCTGCTGGTACTCAGGCCATATTTAGACAGTTATCTGCATAGCCAGAAAGGTTAAAAGCTATTTCTCCTCATTTAAAGTCTGAAGACAGTCTAGATAAAGACAGCATCTGATACAGGTCACAGGTTATGACAATACAACTGCTGATCGTACAGAAAAGCATTAGAAGATACCAAGTAAGCAGTACTTACAT